TGTATATATATATATATACACACACACACATCACGATACATTACGATGTTCATGTGGTACACAACTGCACTTTAGATGGATTGGACTGAAAAATACATAAAGTGACAGAACCCCAACATGCACTGTTCAGCCATATCATTGAAGCCACCTGTCTAATATTGTGACCTGCAGAGGTATGGACTCCGCAAGACCTCTGAAGGTGTCCTGTGGTATCTCACACCAAGACGTTAGCAGCAGATCTTTGAAGTCCTCCAAGTTGTGAGGTGGGGCCTCCATGGATTGGACAGGTGCTCGATCGGATTGAGAATTTGGAGGCCAAATCAACACCTTGAACTCTTTTTTCATGTGCCTCAAACCATTCTTGAAAAATTTTCTCATAATGGCAGGGCACATTATCCCGCTGAACAAGGCCACTGCCATCGGAGAATACTGTTCCCACGAAGGAGTTTACTTGGCCTGTAACAATGCTTAGGTAGGTGGTACGCATAAAAGTAACATCCATGTGAATGCCAGGACCCAATGTTTCCCAACAGAACATTGCCCAGAGCATCACACTGCCTTCCCGAACTTCCTTTCTTCCCATAGTGCATCCTGGTGCCATCTCTTCCCCAGGTAAACGATGCACATGCACCCGGCCGTCCACATGAAATAGCAGAAAATATGACTCATCTGAGCAGGCCACCTTCTTCCATTGCTCCATGGTCTAGTTCTGATGCTTACATGCCCATTGTAGGCACTTTCAGCCGTGGACAGGGGTCAGCAGGGGCACTCTGACTGGTCTCTGGTTACGCATCCTTATACGCAGAAATCTGAGATGGATTGTATGTTCTGATACCTTTCAATCATAGCCAGCATGAACTTTTTCAGCAGTTTGTACTACAGTACCTCTCCTGTGGAATCAGACAGTCTAGCCTTCGCTCCCAACATACATTAATGAGGCTTGGGCACCCATGACCCCATCATCAGTTCATCGGTTGGCCTTCCTTGGACCACCATTGGTAGATACTGACCACTGCATACTGGGAACACCCCACATGACCTGCCATTTTGGCGATGCTCTGACCCAGTCATCCAGCCATCCAGCCATCACAATATGGGCCTTGTCAAAGTCACTCAGATCCTTACCCTTGCCCATTTTCCCAGCTTCCAACACATCAACTTCCAGACCTGACTCTTCTTGACCTTCTTTGACAGGTGCCATTGTAACGAGATAATCAATGCTATTCACTTCACCTGTCAGTGGTTTGAATGTTATAGCTCAGGGGTCTCCAACTCCGGTCCTGGAGAGCTTCTATCCAGTAGGTTTTCTGTCCTACTTGGCTTCTGATGAGCCACACCTGCTCCTGGTATTTACCTGAAAACAGGTGTGGCTCATCAGAAGTCGGGTAGGATAGAAAACCTACTGGATGGTAGCGCTCCAGCACCGGAGTTGGAGACCCCTATTATAGCTGATCACTGTGTAGTGAGCTGTAGATATGTTTAAGCGATTCAGGTGTAACAGTACTCACAAATGCATGCTGCCTTTGAAGTGTTGAAAGATGCTGTCAGTGCTGGGCCGGAACTTCATATCACCCATATGGTTTTGACACCATCTGCAAAAATAATGAGTTAACCTACAATATATCAGTCAGCTCAATGAACCTGTGATACCAAAATGTCTCACCAAAAGCAACAAGTTGAAAATGACAAGAAATAAAATGCTACCCTATAGATTCTGGATTCAGTATACCTTATTCAATCAATATTCAGTATAGATTAGTCATTTTTCTTAAACTAGCCTCTGTGCTTCTCTTGTGCATATCCTTGTTCATTTTTAACATTCATTGACTTTCAGGAACTTGCTATCTGTATACTCATGCCACATTGGCTGAATCCTCAGCGTTTAAAGCCCTGGGGCTGTCTGAAGTCATGAAGTATGACCCTACATGGTCAGTCAGTATGAACATGAGGATTTGCTCATTATTTTTTGTTTTTGGATTGGCCTTATAATAAAGCACATAATACACAATTAAACCAGGGACCTGTGTCACAAAGCAGGGTTTCTTGCTTAGCCAGATAACTTGTTGGATTTAAGGCAGTCTGGGATAAATGTAAATGGACAAAGATAAAGTCCATTTAAACTGGGATACCTAAAACCCAAACAAGTTATCTGGCTACGCAAGCAATCCGGCTCCTGTATACGATAACCCTTTGTATATCCCACCGTTGCTAGATGGCAATCTGATGTTGTTTGGGGTTAAGGCGTTAAAATACAAATTCCTTCATTTCTATTAAAAGTATTAAAATTATGTTTGAGAGAAAAAAAATATATATATATTACAGTTATATAGTACACGTTATTCATCAGTTCCCATATGGTCTAGCGGTTAGGATTCCTGGTTTTCACCCAGGCGGCCCGGGTTCGACTCCCGGTATGGGAATTACAGTTTTATTTTTCTCCTGCAAAATATACATCTAGTCATGTCGGACAACAAAGCAACAAATTCTTACCTCAACTTTTTACTATAAAATGCTTGTTAAAGTTAAAGTGTTAAAAGGGGCAATAACATAGCTGTTCGCTGGTCATATGTTTGCGATTCAGTAGTATATACATCACCAGACATGACCTAATTATATGCTGACTGAGACAAAACATTATTATAGTGTTTTAATTATTTTGTTTACGATAAGGGGAGGCAATTACCGGACATAGCTTACAACTATTCAGAAATTCCGATCATCGTTCTAAGTAAATCTAAACGGGCGGGGTCCAAAGTGTTGATAAAATGAGGGACCGTCTCTAAGTTATTATTCTGAACATTACCGCACAACATTTAAAATAACGATGCATCAACGTTCCACCGCTATTACTCAGTGATCTAAATATTACTGAAAATCTCCAGTATTCAAGTTTATATATTAAATATGTTCATACAGATGTATTTAGAGGGGGCAGACGTGCTGACAGTATTCTCCCCAGAATCACATCATTGAATAACACATTTTTGCCCTTAGCAGTTTTATCCGTAGACTGATCATCATCAGTCATCCTTTTGCTGTAATTACTGTTTGCACAAACCAACATTTTTAAATGATTAAAGAGAGGACATCGCGTGTGTGTTGGTGAAAATATAAGATAAATAAATAAATAAATAAATCACGGTCCCTTGAAATGAAAGTAATAGCGACAGCGTAGCCTTTATGACAACCTTGCAAATCCTGACAGCCATTAAATGATTTATTAAAAGAATACGATTCATTTGATCTCATCCTAATCTCAGATATGGACATACCTTTTTGTTTTTAAATCCCAAACATTTGTATACCAACGTACATTCTGCTGCGATGTACTTTTTAGAGTTATTCAACAATGGTCAGAACTTATAAAACTATATTAAAACTGCCTGTATTGGATTTAGCTGTTTAAATTGCTCTTCCCAGGTTTAAAAAATAAACTGGTTAGCCAGATAAAACAAATTGTTCCCATTCGTCGATTTCGTTTCGCCAAACTGTATGTAATTTAGCAAGCGTCCCTAACTGGATGTTGGACAATGTCAAGGGAAAAATGTGACTCATCCACACCGGGCCAATCAATTGAGGACTGTGTGAGGAAAACCCCATATACTCAAGTAGCTGGAAACATTGGAATACCAGTAACAAGCCAAAAAAGTGAAAAAGAAGAAAAAGTTATTCAGTCGACTAACTAAGGTTTTCCAGTTTGCATACTTAATGGTAAGAGATTATTTTACTATTTCACTTATCTTTCTGGGATAATGCCAGTAATTTACGTGAACATATACTGCTGATTGACTACATTCAGTGCAATAACAGCATACAGCAACTAAGTAAACCAGCTTACAAGTGACACAAATTAACCGGGTTTGCGATTTTAAATTTGAACAACGACCTAAAAACCTGCGTTACATGACAGAGGTAAGGCTTCTTTATTAACGTATTTGAAAACTGTATGATGCGTACTGTATAATAATAATTTGTGAGTTAGATGCAGGTTATTCGTCTCACAGTGGCGTATCTGGTATTATCATACCACAGTTCGGCATATAACTACGTATCTAATTACTACACAACTAATAACAGTTTAAACGTCTCAGAAGAATGGTGTTTTCAGGGAAACAGACATAACGAGTTCTGAAGCAAACCACTTTTAACATGGACTTTGTCAACCGCAGAAATGCGTTTTTCTTCTAGTTGTGCTACACTGCATATTTTGAATAATGCCTTAGTAATTGACGCCCATGGGGTGACATCGTGGCATTTACTTTGTATTTGACTGGCATGTAATACATGACTGGCATGTAATACTTCAGAAGTTTGTCCGGTGGTATAGTAATACATTTTAACGCATGATGGCTCTAGGCGTGATCATTGTGGCTCCGCCCCCGATACGAACACGTGACCTGTGCGTGTGAACGCGGTGCGGGGCGGGACATGGCGTGGCGGCACGCGCTCGCACCCCGGGCTGTGGCGGCATGCGGGGTGCGCTTGAACCCCTGCTTTGCTTGTCGTTAGTAGCCTCTGAAAGCCACTGAAGTGAAAAGCGGAAAAACCAAGTTTCCCGTAAATTTTCAGACCTCCCTCAACATTTTTTAAAACGAAGGCATTACGTAAATGTAGATATCATGAATGTTGTGTTTTGAAAAGTTTTCAGTAACAAATTACTTCTTCCTGTAGTCACTGATGTTTTTGGAAAAAGCATGTAATCTGGGGTGTTTGTAAGCTCCTTTTAGAAAGTCAAAAATGTGTTTCCTTTTCCCGATCCCTTGATTTGCTCACTGTAGGCAGTTCAGTCTTTGGTCTGATGTTTATACATTTGTGGCTTAAGGTTCTGCCTTCATGAGAGTCACAGAAATCCCCCCACCCCACCCTTCTGCTAGTCATGTTGGTCCTCTGTGGGGGGGCCAGTTCATTTTTGTGCTTGTGTGGGTTGTTGACCTCTCTGGGACTTGCTCCAGGCCCATGCACAGCAGAGAGAGGCTGGTTCCACTAACCCACCCACACCCATCCTCAGTCTCCCCTTCTCTTCAGTCTCCTCTTCCCCTCCCCTCCCCTCCTGATGGCCAGCAGATAATTAGAAATGTTGGTCTTCTGAAACCAATTATCTCCCACAAGAGCTTCTAAATATACCCCTGTGCAGTTGTGTTAGCCTGGGGCCCGCTGTGGGCTGGGCTGGGCCGGGCCCCACCGGCAAGCCCCTCGACGTGTCTCCTCAGGTCCTCCCGGTGCTTCCAGCAGTCAGGTGGGGAGACTCTGCTCCCCCTTTGAACTTTTCACCAGAGGGGGTCGCTCAGCACAAAAGGGCCTTGAGTCAGCCCCCCTCTGCCCTGCGATTATGATTCTGGGGAGGGGAGGAGGGGTCCCCATCCTGCAGGTAGGTCCTAAGACGTGGCTCCAGGCTCTGGGCTGATGGAGGCCCAGGGCACAGCATGTGACCATGATGTCACAGTCAGTGCTGCACTGTGACACCGGATTCCACGCCCTTCTGAACACAACGGCCTTTTTTGTGCTCAGTTTATTTTGTGCCTCCGTCAAAACCGATGCCCCCCCTTGGGGCTTCTTTAAGTCATCTGACTGCTGACACAATGACCTCCTTTCCAGTGGGGTTTTGGTGAGAATTAAGATGCGTTATGTATTATTAAGCTGCGTGTGTGTGGGTGTGTGTGAGTCAGTCTGCTAGCTGAACGCGGCGCACATGTCAGCACCCCGTTTCTGAGGTTGACGCGGTCTTGCGGAGCAGGAAAAGCAGGGGGGAAGGGGCTGGTTTCGAGGGCTGGCTCTGACGAGCAGGGGGGCGGGTTCAAGCCGGGCCATGGGGCAGTGAATTCTGAGGAGAGTCACAAAGTAGGGCCGTGGAGCGAGCAAAAGCGGAACGGGGCTAGCTCTCTGCAGCTGTGGAGTCGCGATCAGTTTCGGGAACCGGTGCAAAGATGGCGCTGTGCCTCTTTGTCTCCTAGCTGTAGAGCAGTTCATGTTTGTTCGTTTGTGAGGGTGTTCAGCAGCATGTTTTTGTGTGATGTTGTTCCGTGGTGTGTTGGTATGTGATGGTGTTTGGCAACATGTTAGTGTGTGATGGTGTTCAGAAGCATGTTATTCTTGGTGTTCAGCAGCATGTTCATGAGTGAGGGTGTTCAGCAGTGTGTTTGTGTGTGAGGGTGTTCAGCAGTGTGTTTGTGTTCAGCAGCATCTTCACTTCTTATCTCGGCTGCCATAAGCTTCCCACGGTGGTAAAATGTGCTCTACATGAGCGCCATGAACTCCCGCCAAGTGGCCTTTTATATTTTCCTCCCTACTGTCATGTTTTTATACGCTCTCTTTCACGTAATAAAGACTTCAGGCCAAATCTTCAGCGTGACTCAGGGTCTGCAGTCCAGGTCCTGCTTCAGCCTGGGCCCGTGGGGACTCTCAGGCATCCATGTGACTGTTTGTGAAATGGAAAGTGTGCACTGGCAGCACTTCCCGATTTCGGAGAGAATCGCTCCTTCTTCAGGGGGCTGGCTTCTGTGGAAGGGCTGTGGGGACCGTTTGTGTGAGGTTCCCCATTTAAGCTGTGCAGGTTTCCGCATGGTCACCTGGACTGCTGACAGATGACCTCATCTGGTGGCACGCAGTCACCTGACTCTTGAAGGAGGGAAATTCCAAATTATAACGAAGGTCTGAGACTGCCTTTTCACTATGAGGAAATGTGTCAAAGGCACACACATACACACACACACACACACACACACACACACACAAAAAATTTAAAATTCCACCGAGTAAATGATTTATACCTTGTGACTTTCAGCCACTGCAGCCTTTAAACCATATTCAGGTTTTGGTTGTCTTAAAAAAAATCTGTCTTCTTGCTTCAATAATGCATGAAGAAGTCCAGAAAACACCTGTTTGCATAAAACTACTTGGGTCTGTTTGGTGAAACGATTAAAAACAGGAGTCTTAAAGCTTGTATATCTGACCACAGGCTAAAGTCAGAAGAACATAACGATGGAACATAAAAAAAAAAAGAGGGAGATATCCATCCATTTCCTGAAACCACTTATCCTGTTCAGGGTTGTGGGGGGTCCAGAGCCTATGGGCTCATTCAGAGAACAAACTGGGATGGGACAGTAAGCCATCGCAGGGCTCACTCACACACACAGGATGGGGCACCAAGCCATCGCAGGGCTCACTCACACACACAGGATGGGGCACCAAGCCATCGCANGCTCACTCACACACACAGGATGGGGCACCAAGCCATCGCAGGGCTCACTCACACACACAGGATGGGGCACCAAGCCATCGCAGGGCTCACTCACAGACACAGTGTGTGTGTGTGTGAGAGATAGTTTATATAAGTTGAATTATTCACTTTTTAGTTTTAGTCATATTTTACCACCTAGAAAGGCATTTTACACTAAATACCTATAACAGTCCCATAAGAATCCCTCGCATCGTTTTTACCAGTTTCTTGCAGTTTATTGGATCAGAAAATTATTAAATGAGCTTTATTGGAGGGGAAAAACTGCATTTTAAGGTACATCTATCAGTCATTCTGTGTTTTTTCCCCAAATATTTGGTATATTGTTTCCAGTCTGTCTAGCTGTAGTATGTCAATTATGAAAATTTAAGATGATCTGATTTCTAATAGGATTGTGATTGAAAATGAACTTAAAGGGTATAAAAAGTCTTTGCACTGCCTGAGACGGGTGCA